GCTATCTGAGCTAGTTTTCGTGCTTCCCGAGCGGGCGCGCCCAGAATTGCAATCTGACCTCGATTTCGCACTCTCTCAGGCAGGCGCGCCCAGGATCTGAACTCGTCCTTGCGCTCTCGCAAGCAAGCGCGCTCAGAACTGCAATCTGAGCTCGGTTTCGTGCTCTCCCGAAGGAGCGCGCTCAGAATTGCTATCTGAACTCGTTTTCGTGTTTTCAAAGCGGGCGCGCCCAGAATTGCAATCTGAGCTTTCTTGCTGTCTTGTTTACCATTTTATATGTTTTTTTTTTTATTTTTGCTTTACTTTTTGTCATAAATTCCTGTTTTGTCGTCCCGCGCTTTTTTTTTCATTTTTTTTTCTTTTTTTTTTTTTTTTCTTTTTTTTTTTTTCTTTTTGTTATTTCCTTTTTCTTGTCTATTTTTTTTCTTCTCTCACGCAGGCGCGCCCAGAATTCCGATCTGAACTCGTTTTCGCCGTCTCCGAAGCGATCGCGCCCAGAATTACAATCTGAGCTCGATTCTGCGCTCTTTCTTTGGCAGGCGCGCCTAGAATTGCGATTCCAGCTCGATCCCGCGCTTTCCCAGGCAGGCGCGCACAGAATTCCAATCTGAACTCGATTTCGCGCTCTCCCAAGGGGCGCGCTCGGAATTGCTATCTGAGCTAGTTTTCGTGCTTCCCGAGCGGGCGCGCCCAGAATTGCAATCTGACCTCGATTTCGCACTCTCCCAGGCAGGCGCGCCCAGAATCTGAACTCGTCCTTGCGCTCTTCCAAGCAAGCGCGCTCAGAACTGCAATCTGAGCTCGGTTTCGCGTTCTCCCGAAGGAGCGCGCTCAGAATTGCTATCTGAACTCGTTTTCGTGTTTTTTCAAAGCGGGCGCGCCCAGAATTGCAATCTGAGCTCGGTTGCGCGCTCTCTCAGGCAGGCGCGCCCAGAATTCCAATCTGAACTCGTTCTCTCCCGAGCGAGCGCGCTCAGAATTGCAATCTGAGCTCGGGGTCGCGCTTTCCCAGAGGACGCGCCCAGATTTGCAATCAGCCGCCCGGGTGGCAATCTGCGCCGTGATACGCCCGAAACGGCAATCTGAATACGGAAACGCTTCAATCCGCAACCTCAGCACCGCAACGCCGGAATCGGCAATCTTAGCCCTGAAAGGCACGAGCCCGCAATCTGAACACAACACCGCCCAGAACGGCAATCTGAGCAACGAAAGCCCCGAGTAGGCAATCTGAGTACGGAAACGCCCGAATCCGCAATCTGAGCGCTGAAACGCTCGAATCCGCAATCTGAGCAAACACCCGAATCGGCAATCTGTGCACGGAAACGCCTGAATTGGCAAGCTGAACACCGACACGCTCGCATGTGCAATCTGAGCCCTGAAACGCACGAACCCGCAATCTGAGCACTGCAACGCTCGAATCGGGCATCTGAGCACCCAAACGCCCGAATTGGCAATTTAAGCCGAGACGCGCGAATCGGCAATCTGAGCACGGAAACGTCTCAATCGGCAATCTGGGCACGGCAACGCCTCAATCGGCAACCGGAGCATGCAAACGTCTGGCGCAGTTGATCGAAGATGCGATGTGATGATCTTTGTTCTCACGCCAGTTGCGCGGAATCATTCCCAAAGGCATTCTGTGTGAAACGGATGTGAAACTATAGATCACTCTAGCTCAATCACAGATTCCTTCAATTTTTTGGGATCCTTTGAGCTAAAAAGCCTGTCAATCCAAGAGATTGTGAAGCACTGGACGCACCTGTTGGCACTTCCTTGGGTGGCGTCCGTGGGAGCGTCCCATAGTAATGACTCGCTCTGTTGTAGGCGAGCCAAAAGGGTGTGTCGGGCACTGCGCCGTCGATGTCCACACCAATGCTGGCAAACGTGCGAATGCTGTCGGTATTCTAGATCCTCGCCAAAGTGCCCAACACAAGGTCGTCTGCGTAGTCGCCCCGCAACTGCTTAGCCTTATACTGCTGCACAGTACGACCAAGATTGGCAGCTGCCGCTGCTAGGGCTGCTGGGTCTGCCTCTTCCGTCACACGAGCCCTCATGCGTGAGATGCTGTCGTCTGTCATCCCAAGTTTTCGGAGGGCGTGGAACAGGCAGTGCCCGTCCTTCGGTGTAGACGGATCGCAGCGCTTGCCGTGGGGAGCCAGAGCCTCGTCCAGCTCCTCAATGCTGATCTCTACATCTTTATCTTTTTCTGGCACGTCTGCCGCGGGCCTCTTTCGCGTGCTTCGTCGAGAGCTCGCCTTGTGGACCAGCGGCGCGTCATCTGAGTCGACGATGGTGCGCATGAGCTCTCCTGGTCTTCGCTCGGGTCGGAGCCATCTTTCTATGCGTCCTCGGGGCGCCTCTCCTCAGTCTGGAGCTGACGACGATATACTTTTGAGGCTCTCTTGAGATGCAAGACTCTATTGCTTTCAGGGCCTGTGGAGGTGTGGCTGATGCCAATCCAGCACTCACACCACTTGTGGCAGTAGAAACGCTCTTGCCTCGAGAGCCCCTCCAATTCCAAAGTATCGGCATCCCCCCGTAACCACTCCCGTAGTCTGCGCCAGTACGCCTTAAGCAGCTCGGACCTTTCCGCTGGAAATCGCCTCACTCTGCGTTCCCCCGTCTGGATAGGTATTCGAGACATTTCCGGCGCTCGTCGCGCTTCAGGAACCACTGCTGGTAGTCTCCCCTGCGTGCTCGCTTGGTATTCTGCCAAAACTGCCACATATTTGACCAATTTCGCGCCAGCAGAGATAACGCTGTGTTTAGTTCTGAATTGATTCTCCAAGCCAATTCCTGCCATCGGACTTCAAGTTCTGAGTCAGCAACCTGGCCTTTCCACATACTCAGCTGGCTACCCATTTTCTTCAATAATCCATCGAAGGATTCGCCCGAATTTGTTGTTGTACCATCGGCCGAAACCCATTCTTTTGAATCGTTGACTGTTGAGGCTCGGGCAAAGAAATGCGGCAGGCGTGCCCAGGAAGGGTCCAACATTGTCAACAATACGTTTTTGTTGTACGTGGCATCGTTGCTGAGGACGTGTTGCACGCGAAGAGTTCCAGGTAGGAATCGCAGGACGCCTTGGAAGACCCTGAATGCCACTGCTACTTGAAAGATGTAGCTCTCGAACTTGAGAGGACGCGCCGGCGCGCCATGCCGAACCTGTCTCCGATGCCGACCCCACGTGATATCCACGATGCGCTCTGAGTCGGCAATCCTGGGTAAGTTCTGCTGCCACGCCACTGGGAGCCTCAGCTTGCTCCACATTGCAGATACCGTGCTGTCACATATCTTCAATGCCCGAGCGGTTTTCCCGACGCCAGTCCCGTCCAACCAGTGTGCAGCCAGTTTGAACCTTGTAACCAAGCCAAGTTTATTTCGGCTTCCCTCAAACGGAGTTCCACTGAAATTGACAGAGTGGTGCGCTTGACAACGAGTGCATCTGGCTGAGGCTATAGGGCCATGGCCTCTGCCTTTGACTGCCTGGCTGGCTCTTTGACTTGGTCTCGGCCGAGAAGCGTTGCAGCCACAGTGCCCAAGCGGGCGGACAACACCTTCAGAAAGAAGGTCCTGAAGGATTCCAGCCTTTTTCCGATTGTCCAGGTGTTGCAGAAGTTCGGGGAGCTGCATGCTTGAACATCGGTGGAAACCTACCGATCGCGGCGCATCATGCAAAAGAATTGGCGGCGGTTGTGCTGGCGCAACTGGCTCGGCTGCAGGTGGAACGAGTCGACGTGCAGGTGACTCTGGCCCTGATTGGGGCACTGCTGGCACCAGGGCAGATTGCGACTGCGAAGAGCCACCTCGTCCAAAAAATGCATTCACGTATCTTTCATGAGTCGCGAGGTGAGCGAACAACAATTCTGAAGGTATGGGTGAAGCACAGTAAGGACACGAAGTCAATTTCGGAGATTGAGCCATCGTGCTCTGGGTACGTCATGCGAAAATCGGTCCGGGATCGCTTTGGGATCGTTCCGGTATCGTCTCAGAATCCTTTCAGAATGCAATCAGAATCCTCGCAGAATGCTTTCAGAATCCTTTCAGAATCCTCTCAGAATCCCCTCAGAATCCTCTCAGAGTGCTTCCAGAATCCTCGCAGAATGCTTTCAGAATCCTTTCAGAATCCCCTCGGAATCTTCTCAGAGTGCTTTCAGAGTGCTTTCAGAATTCTCTCAGAATCCTCTTAGAATCCTCTCAGAATCCTCGCAGAATGCTTTCAGAATCCTCGCAGAATGCTTTCAGAATACTCGCAGAATGCTTTCAGAATCCTTTCAGAATCCTCTCAGAATCCCCTCAGGATCTTTCAGAGTGCTTTCAGAATCCTCGCAGAATGCTTTCAGAATCCTCTCAGAATCCCCTCGGGATCCTCTCAGAGTGGTTGCAGAGTGCTTGCAGAATCCTCTCAGAATCCTCTCAGAATCCTCTCAGAATCCTCGCGGAGTGCTTTCAGAATCCTTGCAGAATGCTTTCAGAGTTCCCTCAGAATGAATGCTCTCAGAATCCTGTCAGAATTCTGGCAGAATCCTCTTGGGAGTGCTCGTAGAACCCCCGGCCAACCTCTTTAGACAGGGCCACTGTGACATTTTAGACGCGGGCAAAAACTTTTAGAGGTGGCATTCCTCTGTTGAGGGGTGCACCAGTCTAAACGACCAAAAATTTCTGTAGACAGTTTTGCATCTCTAAAGCTCGTCACACGATCCCGCTCGCGCCAAAATTCTAGCTTCTCTGCCCGAAACGCACACAATTGAGCAGCGCTCATTGCCGTGGAGCGCTCCACTGCGCGCGCCAGAAGCGGCGGCAGAGGTACAAAGCCAGAGGCGCGAGGCAGAGAGTGGGCCCATTCCAGATGGGTCCAGGGAGCCATAGCTCCCACGCTGGACGCATCGAGCAACAATGCATCCACGGCGTCCTTGCGAAAGGCAAAACTGCAGAAGCCAGCGCTCCCTACTGCTTGACCGGGTACCTAAATCCGAATCACTGTCGGGGCCGTCATCGCCACCTCAGCGGCGATCCTTCCAGCCGCCCCAGTCGGACTTGCTGGTCCAGCTGGAGCGGTGCTCGCCTTTGCCGGTCTTGCCCTTGCCGCCGCCCCTGCCGGTCTGAGCTGGCGTCCTCGAACGGTGGCGGCTGGGAGAAATGACCTGGCGGTTGTCGGCAGCACCTCCCTTGGGGAACGTCTTGCCGCCCCGAGACTGCCCTGCAACTGTGGGCGCGGACGCGGCAGACCCTGCCCCGCGGCCACCTCCTTTCTTGCTGGCGCGGGCGAGGGCATCGCCAGCCTTGTCCCTGGCCTCCCGGACCATGTCCCGGTCCAAGTTCGTGAAATACCACTTGGCTGTGGCGTCCTCGCCGTTCTCGAAGGCACGAGCCATCTCTCTCCGCGCCAGCAGATCATATTGATATGCGGCGTTGACGCCTCCGGATTCCTCGGCCACTTTTGCGACGAGGAAGATGTACGCCAGCAGCTCAGTGGCCGTGCAGACTTGGGCGAAGCAGAGTTTCATGTCCCACGAATACAAATGACCGATGAAAGTCGCAAATCCGTGGAACGTTGTCTTCTCCTCTGCAGCTCTGGCCTTGCGGACCTCGAAGCTCGCCTTGAGCCGATCTTCCCAAGAGCCCTCGGCGGGCATCGCCTCGATGACGGGGGTCCGGGACCAGGCGGGCCGGTGGGGGACCTGGAGATCGCCTCCATCCGTGCTGCCCAGGAAGGGGCGCCCGTTCTCGGCAGCCACCTTGCCGGCAGCTTCCCATTTGATCAACTGATCTACGTTGGGAAGGGCGTCCTTGGGAAAGAACGCGAGGCCGATCTCCTGGGCGCGTGTGGCGCTCGTAGGAGAGGCTATTCTTGCCCGGCGCTCTGGCCTCGCTCTGGCTCTTCACAAACTCGTTCATAGCCTTGGTGAAGCCCTCGGCTGCGCTCGAGGCAGTGCCGCCAGCGGCCTCCAGGGAAGGCTTCGTCTCCTTGCAGCACTTGTCGTGGACGCGGAGGGCGTGCACAGGCGTCGCGGGCGTCATTTTCACGGCCTGCCAGCTCGAATGATTGCCCTCTCCTGTGAAGGGCGTGTCATTGACCGTGATGGCCGATTTCAGCAGATCACGGATGACTTCATCTGCGTAATCGCCTGGGTAGACGCTGCTCACAGCTTCGCTCATCATGCGGGCCACTGCCGTGTACCAGCGCAGATCGTGTCTGGCCTTGGGCTCTGCCTCCAGGCTGAGCACGAATTAACCCACTTCTCGCGTTGCTCTGCAGAAGCGCCGTTGAAAGCACTCCCCGGCATCCCCTCGAGATCAGCCTGGATCTCTTCACGAGAGGAAGACATGCGATACGTGGCGAACAACTGTTGAGAGCGGGATGATTCCAGAAGCAGCAGTAAGCAGAAGAGGACTTCGAAAGCACTCTCAGCCGGCGGCTACGGACATGGAGCGAGAAACAGAAACTTGGAATCACTCCTTTGAATCGCCGCCTGTCGCCCCAGCCGATACACAATGTGGAAGCACCGCGGAATGCCTTCATCCACGATCGCCTGGCGCAAAAATTGGAGCAGCGGCCGCCGCCCCAGCAGTCCCTGACTGCAGCGCACCAGAGCCCACAGCGAATGATGATGGGAGAAGAAATGGGACAGAGTTCGATTGTTTTTAAAGCAATTCTCGCAGTGCGCCCACCTGGACACGTTCGAGGGACACGGCCGAGCTTTCTCTCCAGTTTGTCCCCCAGGCCCACTTCCATGCCTCGGCGCCGCGTCGGCGCAGTCTCCGACTTGCCAGCGCTGTCCTCGCCGCCGCTGCCAGAGGAGGAGGGAAAAGCAATAGATGGTGCAATGAAAAGAGCACCCACTTTCGGGCGCCCAAGGAGGCGAAAATAAGCAGAAACTGTAGTTTTTTGGGGGCGCGCGGGCGCCCAGGAGCAATGTCGTGCTTAGATGTCGAACTTGGGCTGCGTGGGCCCGAGAGACGCGCAATCGAGCGCAGAAGCCAATTCTGGGCTCCGATTGCAAATCTGGACGCGCCTGCGCGCCAGACCGCGGATAGGAGCCCAGAATGCAATGCGCGCGGACGCCCAGGAGCGCGAATTAGCGCTCAGATTGCGACACCGCCAGCCTCCGGGCGCCAGAAAGGGGAAAGGGGCCCAGAATGCAATTCTGGGCGCGGACGCCACGGAGCGCGAACTTGGCACTCAGATTGCCAATCTGGACGCGCCTGGGCGCCAGACCGCGGAAAAGAGCCCAGAATGCAATTCTGGGCGCGCGGGCGCCCAGGAGCGCGAATTGGCGCCCGCATTGCCAATCTGGACGCGCCTGGGCGCCAAACCGCGGACAGGAGCCCGGAATGTGCACTTTCGCCATGGGCGTCGTTTGCGATCTTTTCGCAGATCCGCAGTCGTCCGGGAGCCTGGCTCCGACGCAAACGCAACTCAATATAGCCGCATGGAATGTGAGAGGCTTTACGCACCTGAAGCCGGCGGAGTTGACGCACATCACGCAGGCATACAGCATGTTAGTGCGTGCACGGGAATGATGAGAAAGGTTTTTCGGGCGTCGTGTCCAGGCTTTGCCCCTCGCGTTGCTCATCGCAACCGCTCGGGCTCAAGCATCAAAGGCACGGGGTTTTCGCTCGATGGCCGTCACACCATCCCAGGTAGCACTCTTTGTCTGGACTGCCGTGATTGCCCCCTCGCTCTCCGATTGGCTGGCCGGTTCCGCTGGTGTGCGCTCCGCGCCGACGGCCCCCAGCCGCGCGGCGGCCGTCGACTGGTGCTGGGAGCCTCTGCCGTCGGGCTGCTCCTGCGTGCTCCCGCCCGTCGCCGGCGGCGCCCGAGCCGCCGGGCTCGCCCTCGCGGGGTGCCGCAGTGCGACTCGCGCCCGACGGAGCCGTGGCGATCGAGGTCGTCTGGCCGTGGGTGGGGGGCCTCGCGTACTCGCCCGGCCTCGCCCTCGCCGGCTGCCTGTGGTCGGTGATCCTGGAGGTGCTCTTCGTGCTGAATTGGTGCCGCCGTGCTGTGTGGCTCGACTCGACGCAGCTTCGTGTGATCCGCAGTGGAGCAAGACTGACTGCCGTAGGCGCAGCTGCTCGTGCCGCTTGGCTTTGACCCTGGTTTCAGGCACGCACGCGTCATCTTGCGGCCGTGTCACGAGTGGTCTTGGATCGTATACACGGGCGGCGGCGGCCGGCAGGTGGAAAAAGGAGAAGGACGGGAACAAGGTGTACCTCATGAGGGCGGGTCACCCGCCAAGGTCTCTGCCGGACAAGGATGTGGAGGTCGTGCTGTTCGTAATGTTCCTCACGGACGACGAACTACGTGGGCTGTTCGTGAAGGCCCGCGCCGAGGTGGCGCCCTGGCAGGAGTCTGTGCCCGATCTCCACGTGCCAGCGGGCCCGACCTACCTCTTGTCGGAGGATGGGGGCCAGCGCCCGCTCCTTCGCCGCCGTGTCCAGGACATGCAGGTGAGGCGCACCGGCAGGGAGGGCAATCCACCTGTCGCACATGCGGGCGCTGGAGCCGCCGAGTCACTCGGCGGCGCTGGGGATGCAGGCGACGGCGAGCCGACCGCCGACGGCGTGCGTCACCGCTGGCAGGTCAGCAAGCCTGGTCTGGTCGGGGAGCTGGATATCCTTGTGCTACACGCATGCGTCATGATCAAGCTGGGTGACCGCGGCGCCGCCGACATGGACGGCGAGATGGTGTCAGTGCAGAGCGTTCCTGAGGCCGACGTGGGCGACTGCGCGTTCGTGAAGACCTCGGCCTACGAGGTAGCGGTCCGCTGCGTCGACGGCGCGGCCCTTTGTTTCGGGTGGCGTAACAGGATCCTGCCGAGCCACGCGTTTTCTCACGGTGAAGGAGCCACGCCGGCTGTCCATGCAGATGCCACCGAGCCGTACGATGTTCGCACTGTGTGGGCGGACACCGACGCCATGAACGACGGATTCAAGACTTGGCGTCATGTGGTCATGGAGAGCTACCCCACGGTGTGGAGCGACAGCCCTGTGGAGGGGCGGTCTAGCCTGATGGTCATCCCCAGGTATTCTGATCGGCACGGCGGCAGCGTCAGGATGTGGCTCGACCTCTGCTCTCGCTCGCAGAACCTCAGGCCGGGCGAGCGGGTCATGGGCGAGCTCTCCGTTCTCTGCGAGCTCATCTACGGGGGGGACATGTACGACCAGCTAAATATGCCGTCGCTGGCCAGCTTCGAGATCATAGCGTTCCGTCCCCAGGGTATCGCGGACGTGTACTCGGGCGACCCCTCTTGGCCGCAGTGGGCCAACGCGTGGCTCTACTCCGGCGTGGACTCTGCGGTGCACATGGTCGCGCCCGAGCTGGAGCACTACGTGGCCAAGACGGCCAAGGACGAGGCCAAGGTCGAGTCCATGCGGGTGCGGGCCCGCAAACCTCCCGTCGCTGCCGACGCCGTCGTTGCTAGCGGACACCCTGTCGCTGGACGCAGTACACCTGTCGCCGCCATGGCGGGCCAGCCTTCCAAAGGATCGGGCCGCGGAGCCCTGGGGGGAGGCGATGGCGCCGCTGCCGCGGCGGAGGCTCAATGAGTGATACGACCCTCGGCGGTGGGACTGGCCCAACCCCCGCCGTTCGCCTTCCTGGGCTTGCACGCGGATCCGCGGAGATCTTCCCGCTGCCCGACGACTCCAGCATCGTCGCGGAATTCTGGATCCACCTTCAGGGGCGTGCCCAGCGCCGGTTCGTGAGGGATTGGCGGGAGTGTGTGCGCTCATTAAATTGGTTGTGGGGTGCTGGTCATCGTGAGGCCGCCCGACGTGCTCGAGGCGACGTCCACCCATACCGTTTTCAACTTCAACGTGAGGTGCTGGTGCGAGTCGCCCAGGGGGTTCAGACATATCTGGACCCACCCTCCGACCTTTCTCCGAAGGAGGCCTTTCAGGGGCTACTTCGAGGCCGCGGGGTCTACGACACCGAGACGGCCTACACTACCCTGGCACCCTACCAACGGGGCGCTGTTTCTCTTCCTGGTGACGTCTCGACGGCCCCGGCCGTGGGAACCTTGGTCACGGGGCGCGCCCTCGAGTATCTGGTAGCGGCAGAGGAGCAGATGATCAGGACCGATGCTGAGGTCCAGCTTGACCGTGAGACGAATGGCGAAATCAAGATCTACACCGACCCCCTGCTCGCCAATAGTCGCCGACGGTACTCCACCTTTGTGAAGGACCTGAAGCGGAAAGGCTTGGTGGGCTTCACCCGCGATCCCAAGGAGTTCGTGGGTGTTTTCTTCGTCTGGAAGAAGGAGCGCGCGTCCATGAGGATGGTGCTCGACTGTCGCCGCTCCAATCAACGTTTCGTGACCCCTCCCGGGGTCGAGCTGTTGTCGACCGAAGGGCTTGGTCGGATCGAGTGCGACACGGAGCAGACCGGCACACTGCCCATCTTCCTGGGCAAAGCGGATGTGAAGGATTGTTTCCACCGCATGATGTTCGGCAACCATCTCTCCAAGTACTTTTGCTACCCGGGTGGCATGGCCAAGGAGTTTGGCATCGTCGGGCAGCTGGTGGAGGGGGTGCCTGCTCGCGCTGACGATTACCTCTGGCCATGCGCCCTCGCGTTACCCATGGGCTGGACGTGGTCGCTCTATTTCGCTCAGGTGGCCAACCTCGGGCTGGTGGAACGGGTCCCCGCGGTGGCGTCGAGTTGCGCGGCCACCGATCGAGGGCCCCCCATCGTGCTGTCCCCGACCTCCTCCTGGCACTACGTGTACGTCGACAACGTTGGGCTCATCTCGCTCGATGCCTCGTACGTCAAGGGGGCTCTGGCGGACACCATCGCGGCCTTCGACGCCGCGGGCCTCGTCATGCATGACATCTCGGTGGACTCCGACACGGCCGAGGCTTTGGGGGTGACGCTTGATGGCCAGAGACACCAGACCCTCGTCAACCACCGGCGCTACTGGAAGGTGAGACTCGGGCTCCGGTGGGCCCTCTCGTTGCGACGCCTGGCAGGGCGAGAGCTCGAAGTATTGCTTGGCCATTGTACATTCGTTGGTTTGATGTGTCGGGAGACCCTGTCCGTGTGGCACACCGTCTACACCTTCGTCCGTGAGCGGTACTGGGCCAAAAGCGACGTGTGGGAGTCCGCACGTCAGGAGCTCGAGTGCTTCCTCGGGCTGATGCCGCTCCTTCGGTCTGAGTGGGATCGGCCGTGGCTCGCGCAGGTACTGTCCGTGGACGCCAGCCCGTACGGCTGGGGGATAGCCAGCTCCGAGTTCGGAGTGTCGATGGTGAAAAAGCAGGGCAGGATTCTTGAGCGATCTCGTTTCCGTCGACTCGGAGGGTTGCCGGCTCGGGCCAGTGCCCTTGCCGCCGCGGGGTTCGTCTATTCACCCACCACTGATCGCTGGCAGGTCGACGATGAGAAAGTGCGGGACCCTTCGGACGTTCGGGAGGCTGGAGCTTGGGAGATGCGCGAGGATTTCCCTGAGATTCCTGGGGCCCTCCTCCACGGGGATCGGTGGCGCTTGATTTTGCATGGCAAGTGGGCCTACTCTGAGGATATCCTGATTCTCGAGGCCCGCGTCCTGGTCAAAGCTGTCGCAAGAGTTTGTAATTGCGTTCCAGGTGGATTCTGCAGAGTATTGTTATTGGGAGATAATATGTCAGTTATATTAGCTTGTGAAAGATTTGGGGCCCGCAGCTTCGGGCTCTTGGTGCAGATCAGACGAATCGCGGCCTACGCTTTGGGCCGAGGGGTTCGATTTGGGTTCAGGTGGCATCCCTCAGAGCTCAACAGTAGCGACGCTGGGTCCCGTATCTACGACCCCAACTACGACTCCACGAAGGATCTCACCCGCCTGGTGGCTGACGGACACGGACCCGGAGACGTCCTGCCTCAGCCTGCGGATCCACCTCGGTCCGTCGACGTGCCGGCTCAAATTCCCGAATCGCCCGAGGACCCAGATTCTCTTGCCTGCACCGTATTCCACGACTGCCATGATGCGGACCCGCAGCCTGGAGGCGCCGAGCCGAACCATCGCTGGCCAGAGGAGCTTACTCACGACGTTCGGAGCGCGTCCGATGACGACTTCCTGTCCGCCTTCAGCGACCACGGGGCTAACGACGACGCCTACCTGGCTGCGACCGGGGACACCCTTGATGCTGGACACTGGAAGGGTGCCTCCAACCAGAAGGTCCCTGATGACTCTGGCAGTCAGAAGGCCCGCCTGGGCTACAGCAGCAGCCACGGCCGCTGCCACCGCCGCGGCCGTCGACGTGGACAGCGATGGCACTACTACGGCCGACGAGATGGTGAAGATTCTCGGCGACAGGGCGCCCGCAGCCCTGCTGGTTCGGTGGACCGTCGCGGTGGAGTTCGCGAGGCGGGACGAGCCTGTCATGGGTGTCGCCGTGACGAACGGAGTCAGCAGCTACCTCAGGCCAGAGCTCCTCAGCCTTACCTCGACCAGCCTGGTGGCCCCGGGTTCGCTGGTGTCGCAGCACTGGAGCCTCCCTTTGCATCCTTCAGAGAGGAAAAAGAGGAGCTGGGCCAGCAAAGCGGACGATTCGCTGATCACCGTCTCGGCCCACAAGCTGCCGTGGGGTCGCGTTTCCCTCCAGGCCTTGAAGGAGATGGGCGGCCGGCTGTGGCCCTTCGTTTGTTTCACCTTCTGGGCGAGGTTGAAGAATGTCGCCAAGATGCTGGGCTTGTTGCACTTTGTACCGTGCCTGATGAGACACTCGTGGACGTGGATAGATCGCCTCAGGCCGGGTCGCAGCCAGGAGGAGAGTCAGAGGCTCGGAAGGTGGAAGTGCTGGATGAGTCTCATACGCTGCAAGAGCGCCCGCCTCGGATACCTCTGGAAAGAGCTCGCTGCCGGGATGCCAGCACGCGTGTATTTGTGCAAGGGCCAGCTCGTCGAGTTCCTCTGGTCGCCCAACCTTGTTCTAAGGCCACTGCCTGTCCGCGGCTAAGTAAGGACGGCACCTACATGGCCGACCTGTTTTCTGGCTCGGGCAAGGTTGCTCGGGCGGTCAACCAGCTAGGGTTCTCAGCCAAGGCCTGGGACATCATCCACGGGGCTAACCATGACCTCACAGACCCAGCGGTGCTCCGCCTGTTGTTCTCGGACATCCGTGACGGGAAGGTCTTCGCTGCCATGATCGCCCTCCCCTGCACCTCGCTGACCATCGCTCGAGACAGGACTTTTCAGATACGCTCACGCACTCAACCATGGGGGACGGACCTGACTGGGGCCTCAGATCGGGACCGAGCCTCACTCGAGACTGGTAACAAGATAATTCGGGCCGTGATTCGCATTCTCAGACACCTCAATCGCCACAAAATTCCGTGGATACTTGAAAATCCGTCTACTTCCCGTCTATGGTTCATTCCAGAGATATTGGCTATGTGCAGTCGGGCGCATGCTGAATGGCGACTTACAGATTTCTGCCAGTGGGGTACGCCGTGGCGCAAGAGGACATGGCTTGTTTGTGGCAATATGTATCCTGAGGACAGTTGCTCACTGGACAGGGTGTGCACTGGAAAAGCAGGTAGGCGCTCTCGCACTTTCCGCCGACACATCGAGCTGAGTGGCCGCAATGATCAGAATATTTTGTGGACCTCAATTGCTCAGCCCTACCCCTCTCGCCTTGCCACTGCTCTGGCTAGATCTCTTGCCGCTAAGAAGCACGCTTCCTGCTCGTACAACTCAGGCGGCCCCGTTCGTACCAAGGCCCAATGAGGCCCATGCCTGGCTTTGTTTTCGGTTTTTCCCCTCCTCTCTTCCCCTCCTTCGCCCCTGTCAACCCTTTTTCTATTCGGGATGTTTGGAATGCCTTGGACGTGTGATTCTAACGATCTCACGTCGTCCCAGCTGTGTGTTATAACCCTGTCAGATAGTAGCAGACGTTCTCCGCTGGAAAAATACGGTCTCATTATGTTAGTGCGTGCACGGGAATGATGAGAAAGGTTTTTCGGGTGTCGTGTCCAGGCTTTGCCCCTCGCGTTGCTCATCGCAACCGCTCGGGCTCAAGCATCAAAGGCACCCACCCTTTCGAACAATGTTCTCCCATCCCTTACTTCCATTATACTTTGCAGAATGCCTTGGACGTGTGATTCTAACGATCTCACGTCGTCCCAGCTGTGTGTTATAACCCTGTCAGATAGTAGCAGACGTTCTCCGCTGGAAAAATACGGTCTCATTATGTTTATGTGACTTTTTGTTGCCCTATTTCCCCCCTTCGTCCCGTGCTGTCTGTCACCCTGACTTGCTGCATGTCGTCCACGTCAGCCAGCGACCCCTGGAGCGGTGCTCCAGGGGGTCGTGTGGTTTTTCTGGTCACCCCTCCCAGGGCCGAGTGGCCCTGGTGGTGGGGGGGCGTCGTCAAGACGACGATGCAGCCATCAGGTGTCAGAAAGAGGAAAAGGAGGAGGAGGAGGAGGAGGAGGAGGAGGAGGAGGAGGACAATATTCGTCAACGATATTGGAATAAGCCCTCCCTCCAAGCTCCCTCGTTCGTAGGCCCCTGGAGGGAAGTGCCCCTTTGGGAGACCGCCGTTTGAAGATCCGGAAGCGTGCCGAAACATCATCATCAGGGTTCCAACGCCGCGAGTAATTCTGACTGCTACGTCTTGGCGATGCCGAATCGTGCCAGCACGCTGCTCCTGGGATGTCAGCTACGGGAAGCAACGAAACGGTTGCGCCCTGGCAATCACGAATCGCTCCAAAGCGCAATTTCTGGTACGTTCACGATGGGCATCCGTGAAACTCTGGCACATGTTTACAACGAAGGTGCGCGACGCTCAGGTGACCACCTTTTGAAAACGAGCCGCCTTCCATCCGTGAAGCCTTTGCATTTTTGTAATGCGAATGCGCGCGGCGCTAGGGCGAGAGACACATTCTGAAGCCCGCCCGCCCTCCATCCGTGAAGCTCTTGCAAAGGTCTAAGCTTCACGATCATAGCTGGGGAGGAAGTCTTAGACGAAACGCCCGGCCCGCCCTGTCGACCAGCCTCGGGGTGCGACAGGGAGGAGTTATTCATGTGGAAACGGAATGTAGGAGGAGGAGGAGGAGGAGGAGGAGGAACTGCCCATCCTCCCTTCTCCCCCGTACTACCCATGGTAGTGGCGGTGGAAACTGGCCCATCACAGAAGGGGTGCGAATCTTGGAGCGGCCCAGAGAGGGCCTCGGCTTCGGCGCACCCCACCCTGGGCGGATGGCCGGCGGGAGAGCCCGCGCGCAGGCGGAGCGGCAGAAATCGGCGGAGGGCCGCCGGAGGCGAGAGCGAGGCGCGCCACCACTTTTCGAGGCCCGTGCAGTCGGGGCCAGACTCGGGGGCAGAGAGGGGCGAGGGAGGTGAAGAGCTGGAGGAGGAGGAGAAGGAGGAGGAGGAGGAGGAGGAGGAGCAGGAGGAGGAGGAGGAGGAGGAGGAGGAGGCCTCGAGGCATGAACGATTCACGACGGGAGGTTCTGAATGGTTTTCGGCCTCCAGGCGGCCTCGGGGCCGGGTCGAGACCTCTCGGGGTCGACGCTGCGCCCACAAAAGTCACATGACCTCGGGGGCTTGGGGACTCCCTACAGGCACTCCGCCGTCGGGCCGGGGCAAGATGTACTTCCACTACATCTCGGAGGAGGGCCAGCCAGGGCCGCTTGCGCTCCGATCCGATGCGACAGCATGCGCCGGCCGGGGCCGCGGTTCCGATTCGGCTCGGTGCGGCTCGATCTGTGCGGGCATCGGCCAAGGGGGCAGCCGGGGCCGAAGCGCGGCGATCCGATCTCGATTCGATGCGGAACGATTCGTTGGCGATCCGACCCATATGTCCGCTCCGATCCGATGTCGCGGCTCGGACCGGCCGGCCAAGATGGGCGGGGTATTTGTTCAGTCTTAGTTTGACTTGCAAGTCCTTGCCGAGTCGTTCGATTAGCTTCCCGCCCCTGGGCGAAAGCGCACCATCCCAGCGGAGGCTGTTCCGACAGGGATCGGCTACACGTCAGAGTGACCTTTCGCCGGAGTGACCTTTGGTGCGGGCCCAATGGGATCCCCCGATCGCCGAACGCGATGCGGTAGTGGCGTCTTGCGCGCTCGTGTTTGACCCCCTCGCGCCCCCCAAAAGCCGCGCACCAAAGGTCACTCTTACCCAGGGTCACTCTTGCGTGCAGCCGACAGGGAGTGCACCATCCCGACCAACAAAACGCACCGCTACTCGATTGGCACGCTTGCAGGCGTGCCAGTCGCCCCCCGCCCGGCCCGAGTCCGCTCCAAAGCGGTCCCCGGACCCCTCCCGGGGTATGGCGCGCCAGTTCTCCGAGCGGGGTCCAGACGTGGCGGCGAGGCGCCCCCCAGCAGGCCGGCAGCGGGGAGTCGAGGAGGGCCTCCCGAGGCCTCAACAGGGAAGAGGAGGAGGAGGAGGAGGAGGAGGAGGAGGGAGGAGGAGGAGGAGGCGGAGGAGGAGGCGGAGAGGAGGAGGAGGGGGAGGAGGAGGGAAGGGAGGATGGGAGGAGGGAGGAGGCGGAGGAGGAGGATGCGGAGGAGGAGGAGGAGGAAGGCTAGGAGGAGGAGGGGAGGCGAGGAGGAGGAGGAGTGAGGAGGAGGAGGAGGAGGAGAGGAGCGGGGAGGAGGGAGGAGGAGGAGGAGGAGGCGGAGGAAGAGGAGGAGGAGGAGGCGGAGCAGGAGGAGGAGGAGGAGGAGGAGGAGGAGGAGGAGGAGGAGGAGGAGGCCGAGGAGTTCCGCTTTTTCGGCGAGGGGGCCCCCCGAAGGCCGCCGATGTGATCTGCTCCGCCCGCGGCCCCTGGGGTCTTCGACCCCTTCCCCAGGGCTGCGGCCCGCGTTCCGGGTCCATTTTTGATGGCCTCGCGCCCCGAAGGCGCCCCCCCCGGGGCCGGAATCGACGAAGAAACGCCACATATCATCGCCGGAGGTCTGGGCCTCCATGGCTCCGGCTCTGCCGTGCTTCGGCAGATGCTCCTAGATCTGACGTTGCGCCGGAGCGAGCGATGCGAGAAAGTGGGGCGGTCATGTGAGCGTTTCTTGTTCCTCCCCAGGGGGTACGTCACGCTCGTTACCCGGGCCAAACCCCCCCTCCCCCCCACCCCCACCCCTAAGTCGGGCGGAGGAATATTCCAAATTCGTCAAGCAATAGTAGGCGATGTTTTAAGCATTGTTGAACATTATGTTTTAATAGTTTTTTTTTTGTTGTTTGATGTTTTTGATTTTTCGCCCAAAATCCCCACCCTGTAGGAGGACATGCCCGACCTAGCCCCACCCCTACATGCTGTGGCGCACACAGGCGATCGATGCGCCGGTGGGGTGGCGCGGGCGCACCCTGGCAGGCGCATGCCGCGGCCACCATTACCGCTACCCTCCCGCCCAATCCCCCCCCCCTCCAGCCCGAGCAGGGCGCGCCCCGGCGCGCGCCAGCCTTCGACCGACCCACTCCCCCCCCCCCGTGGCACTGGAGGGTTGCTCCGAAGGGCTTAGGCGACCCGTCCTCCTCCTCCTCCTCCTCCTCCTCCTCCTCCTCCGCCTCCGCCTCCGTCTCCTCCTCCTCCTCCATCTCCTCCTCGCCCTCCCCCTCCTCCACCTCCTCCTCCTCCTGCTCCTCCTCCGCCTCCTCCGCCTCCTTCTCCTCCTCCTCCTCCTCGTCCTCGGGTCGCCTACGGCCCCGGGGGAAACCGTGCACCCCTGCCCCCGGGTAACGACCGTTACCCAGGAACTAATATCAAATTCTATCAGCAGTCCCGCCTCAGAGAGGTAGGGTGGACAGTTCCGCAAAGGTGTGGCGGAAGCAGCGGCGGCAAAGTAGGGCGGACACTGACATAAGAGGAGCTTCAAGAGTAGGGCGGGAATTTCCACCCTATTCGCGAAACCGCCCAGGAAGTAGCGCGGAGACTTGGGCTTCGGGCCATACCCCGACCCCCGACGTTATATTTTTCCGTAACCCCAGAGGATCGAAATCTCAAACTTTCGTCGATCACAAACTTTTTGAGATTTCGCAAACTTTTTGAGATTTCGCGAAAAGTTTGCGAAAAGTTTTCCGCGGTGTTGGGAAGTTTGAGATTTCCAAAAACTTTGAGATGCCACCGCTAATTCAAGAAATGGCGGTGGCCTCCTGATCTTTCGCGGCGAGGTAAGCAACCTGCCGTCGGCGCAGAAATGCCCGAGGGGTTTAAAGACGGCCCACGAGGGCCCCAAGCGGGCCCCG